AACGTAAATGCTATGTAAATAGTTGTTGTATTGTTTAGGAAATAATAACAAGAAAAAAAATCTGTATATGTTCAGTACAGATGAAATTTTTTCCTCCAAACATTAATACAGTATAGTTGACCCTTGAACAACATGGAGGGTAGAGGGGCATACCCTCCTCATGGTTGAAAATCTGTGTATAACTTTCCCTAAGTCAAGTAGTTACATACTTAAGTAGTTGGCCCTGTGGAACCGCTCCATTTATGCAGGTTCCACATCCTACAAATACAATTTTTTTTGACCCACAGATGCAGAACCTGTGTATAAGTGGACACATACAGTTCAAAACTGTGTTGTTCAAGGGTCAACTATACTGTATTAATGTTTGGAGGAAAAAATTTCATCTGTACTGAACATATACAGATTTTTTTTCTTGTTATTATTTCCTAAACAATACAACAACTATTTACATAGCATTTAGGTATTATAAGTAATCTAGAGATGATTTAAAGAATCGAGGAGGATGTGCACAGGTTATATACAAATACTCTGCTGTTTTATATCGGGAACTTGAGCATCTGCAGATTTGGTATCTACAGGAGGACCAAGTACCAATCCCCACAGATACTGAGGAGTGAATGTATTATCATGCATTAATATTTGTGTGTGTGTGTGTTAGTAAACTGTGTATTTACACTTTCCTTCAAATGTGTATTAAACAGTTTTTAATTTTGTACTGCTCTGGAGCCAGGCTACCTTTGTTCAAATTCCAACTCCTCCACTAGAAAGCTAGTTCTGTTTTATTAGACAGATTTTTTATTTAAGTTACCTCATATAAAATTCTTAGAACAGTGCCTGGCACATTGTAAGTGTGCAGTAAATGTTAGATACTGTTATTACATCTTAAGATGTTATCCCTCGTTAGAAATACTTATCATTTTTTCCAGCATCTTATATATTTTGATATAATTAGCCTTATTTTGAATAAAATTGGTAATTGTTTGCTGAGATTTTAACCAGCTACTTTTCTTATTAGAGTTACTGGTAGAAAGTAGAACTTTAAACATGTTTTTATAAAATCACAAATGTAATTTTAATTCATCTTGGTAAAATAACTAACTTAAAAATCACGTATAAGTTTGATGTTTTATTTGAGTGATTGACACAGGCAGGACTAAATTATGTCAATATATATGTTTAATTATATTTGTCTCCCCCCCAGATTTTAAAACTAGGTGGAATTGCTTATTTTCTGAGTAGGTTAATGGATCCACCATCAAATGAGGCAGTGTTGCTCTCCATAAAACACCTGATGGAATTGGTAAATTTTTTTTTTTTTTTTAAATTTTAACTTAGAGTGTTAGAGTATGTAAGCCAACTAATTATAAATTCCAATCACTCCACTGTCCTTTAATTCCAAAGATAACCTCTATTGTGACTTCAATGGTAATCTCTTGCTCATTTTTCTTGATGGTTATGCATCTCTATAAAGAGTTCAGTTTAAATTTGCCAATTTTATGAACTTTACATTAGCTCATACAGGATGTGCAGCAACAGAGTTCTGGATTCTTTCACTTAACATTGTGAGATTCATCTGCATTGCTTCTTTCAGCCATAGTTCATTCATTTTCTTTCTTTCTTTTTTTTTTTTTTTTGACATATTTTATTGTATGACTACTGAAAAGACATTTTTGTTATTTCTAGTCTGGGATTATCACATATAATGCTGGTATGAATATTCTTCAGAATTCAGTGTTGCCTGGTTCACATGTTCGAGTATATCTCACGCTTAGTTGTGAATTCAGTGCATCATAAGATACATATATGACCAAGTTTGGGAGATACCCCTAACGGTTTTCTAAAGTTGTTGGAAACACTTCCACTTCCACCACTGCTAGATGACAGTTCTCATTGCTCTGTAGCTTCACTAACCGTTTGTATTATTGGTCTTTTATTCTAACCATGCCAGTAGGTATGTAGTAGTTTTAATTTGCATTTCATGACTATCATTGAATTTGTGAGCAGGTTTCATATGTTTATTGCTCACTTGAATAGTCTCTTGTAAATTGTTGGTGCCTGTTTTTCTTTTAGGTTGTAGGAGATCATTATATACTTGTGTACTCTTCATCTGAGCTTTTTATCAGTTGTGTCTATATTTTCAGCTTTTCTCTTTTTAATAGTGTCTTCATAAATATTCTTTATTTTAATGTAGTCAGATATATCAGTGTTAAAGGTTATTGGTTTTTGCCCTTTAATAAATGTACCTACTCTGGGCTTATGAAGACTTTTAAAAAAAAAAAAACTTTGTCTTTCACATTTAGATACATAATCCATCTGCATATGATTTGTGTGCTTTTGGTAAAGCAGGAGTCGTAGTTTTTACATATGCAGATCCAATTGACCAAACACCATTTATAGAAAAGTTCATTCTTTCTTTTTCTCTTTGTTTTGCATCCTTTGTTATAGGTTAGGTGTCTATGGATTTGTGTGTCTGTTTCTGGCTTTGTTCTATTCTATTGGTGGTCTGTGTTTGTATCTTGAACCAGTGTCACACACTGCCTTAATTTCTCTAGCTTTGTAATAAATCTTGCTGTCTGGTAGAACCAATCACTCAAATGTCTTGGCCCTTCTTGGTGCTTTGTCTTTTCATTCTTCTTCAAGAGTGTCTTGGCCTTTCTTGGTGCTTTGTATTTCCAAATAAATTTTAGAATCTTGGGATTTTGATTGAGCTTGCACTGAATCTGTAAATCAATTTGGAGAGAACTGACATCTTTAGAATATTTTAACATGATCTATTCCTCCATTTATTTAGGTATTTACCCTCTCTGTGTTTAAGAGTTTTCTACATAGGGGCTTTATGATCTTTTTTTAGGTTTATTTCTGGTTAGTGGCATTTTTGGATTCTGCTTTAACTTTTAAATGTTTCATTTTCTTATAAGTCTGATACATAGAAGTGCAATTGGATTTTGAATATTGACCTTGTATTCATTAATGCTGTAAAACCCACTTATTCTAATAACTATATGTAGATTTTTGTGCATATGTAGTCACCTCTTTAAATAATTACAGTTTTATTTATTCCTTTCCAGTTTTCTAGGACCCCAGTACAATGTTGAGCAGAAGTTGTATGATAGTGTCCATTCCAGTCTTGTTCTTGTTCTCAAAGGGAGAGCTGTCAACAGGCTCATCACTGAGTATGATGTTTGT